ATGTTATAATTAAATGATTTTTGTTGGAAAATGTTTTAGGGTTCGTTCACACCAGCTTGAATGCTAAAAAGCATGGACGCTGGTGTACATTGTGTAGGGGCAGTGCAGGGTGGTGCAATATACTGGTACACATCACACTGTTTACTTTTGTTTAAACTCTATTAAAGTGTCATAAAATTACAGTCAAGCAAAACAAACGACAAACGCACTCAACAACTTGTCACCAGTTATACAGTAAGGTGCACACGAAATGGGCTTTGAACTGTAAAACAGTAGAAAGGCATCATGGCACACTCACAAACCAGCATGTAAAACAACTTGTCTCACCACTGAGGTTAATAATAGAGGTTTGGATACACGTCTTCTGCAGAAAATGTGAAAGCCGCACTGCCGCGCCAAGGCATCTCTTATAGTGCGGTCCTAACTCTAAACTACGAGAGTCTCCATCTTGGAGCACATGGGGGCAGAAGATTTCAAATTGGGTGCACCATTTCGTGTGCACCTTACTGTATAACTGGTGACAAGTTGTTGAGTGCGTTTGTCGTTTGTTTTGCTTGACCGATTTGGTGCAGCGACGCATGGGGTTTCTCAGCTGCCATTGGGATGTGCGGGATCCCTTGTGTGTTTCTGTGCTTTTAAGGAGGCTGGGCTTCCTCCTGACAAATCTGCACCCAATTTGAAATCTTCTGCCCCCATGTGCTCCAAGATGGAGACTCTCGTAGTTTAGAGTTAGGACCGCACTATAAGAGGTGGCTTGGCGCGGCAGTGCGGCTTTCACATTTTCTGCAGAAGACGTGTATCCAAACCTCTGTTATTTTTTTTGTAAATTCTTTATTTAAAGAGGTATTTTATAGTTACAAAAAACAGGGATGTCCAAATATGCATCACATACACGTACAGGAGGTCGTCCGCAAAAGCCGCCACCTTGTGCTGGACGGATCCTATGTGTACACCTTGTATGTCTGGGTTAGAGCGGATAGTACGTAGGAAGGGTTCTAAGGAAAGGATGAAGAGAAGGGGGGAAGGGGGCATCCTTGGCGGGTACCATTGGCTATGGAAAATGACCTTCTCGGACCTTGGCGGAGGGGGAGGAGTATAGGGCACGTATCCAGGTCAGCATGTGGGTACCCAAGCCCACTGCCTTCAGTGTGGCCGAGAGGAAGCCAAACCTCTGTTATTAACCTTAGTGGTGAGACAAGTTGTTTTACATGCTGGTTTGTGAGTGTGCCATGATGCCTTTCTACTGTTTCACAAAATTACAGTTCATTCAATTCTTTGTTCTTCTGCCCACTGCAGCGCAGTGATGTGTGATGAGTTTCATAAAAATACAGCGCAACAGCATTTGTAAACATAGCACCGCAGTCCACCTCAAACCAGTGTTGCGGCATAAACAGGGCACATAGAAAACAATGTACCCTTGTATTGAGCCTGCACTGATCTATGCAGATCAATGGACATGGTGTGAATGAACCCTTAAAGCAGAACTCCAGTTTGCAATGTATTACTAGCACAGGGTTTAGTGACCCCCATCCGCCATATTTTCTGCATTACTCTTTCATGTATTCAATGCAGAGCTTCACTAAAATCTTTTCTCCGGCTATAGCTCCAATTAAACTTCCAGGTGCGGGACATCCAGTGCTGCACAGCCAGTTCCTGTCCTAGCTGGCTGTCCTGTTTACATCCTCTAGGAGTTTTCCAGATTACAGGAGTGACACTGTTAATGTGCAACGCTAGTAGTGGAGTAATATTAAATACATTACAGCTTTACACAGCTCAATCTGCAATGTCTACTGGTATTTGTGATTCCCTGAGTGGGTGCGCTACTCACTGACATCAGGACAGAGATCGCAGAGGTCACGTGACCTTAAATTTAGAATCTTTAAAAGGTAGTAGTTGAATGTTAAATAAGTGAATAAATAAATGAAATCATGGAGCAGGGTGGAGTCACAGGGGAGTTCCGCTTTAATATACCATGTCTCTAAATGGAAATGGCAGAGCCAAGTATCTGCCACACCCTTCTTGACAAGTGTCCTCATACAGACTTGTATTACAGAGGAAGAGATGGAGCTCTGTCGGACCAGGCTTGATAAATTATGGAGTAAACTTGGCATTGTGGTGAAACTCATTTGCCTATTGCACTTTGCAGTCATATTTAAACACCCCATAATAGAAGTCACCAGCACGCGATGATATGTGCAAGAAGTAAGCACTTTTTATTCAATCGTCACATGCGTCAAACAGCCAACGTTTCTGGGCCATGCAGGGTCCTTCTGGGCGACATAGTGACCCAACTATGTGCTGGTGACTTCTATTATGGACTGTATCTGACACGGCGCCATCCGTGTTGTCACTTCAAGCACCAACCTCTCATCCAAGGTCTGTATGTTGTATGGAGTGCAGGTGATTTCGTATTATATATTTAAACACCCGGCGCACTGTCTATAACTGGGCCTTAAAATTGGCATTGCTCCGTAAACAGAAAAAGCCATACTGCACAGCTTACTCAAGTGTGTGTCCATAGCAGTTACATGGCTTGCCACCGCAGTGCATTCAATGTCCAGCACTCAATCTGCACTGACAATGGGTTTCTGGATCTGAGGCTGCCAAACATCTAATTATTTCACAGGTGTCAGCCCCTGGCCGGCCGGCCGGGCCCTAACAGTTTGTTCACACTTGTAAGTTGTGGAGTACAGCTCCTTTATGAAACACAAAATGTTGTTGTTTTACCTGCCAAAGGCTTGTATTTCTGTCTATGCAGCTTGAAGATTTACACAGCTCTGACACATACCACAACGTTGTCTGGCAGGGCAGGAGACCAACATTTTCTCTGCTGCAGTTAAGTTACACTTATAAGTCATGTCCTTCCCCCAGCTTGTGACGGGATAGTGAAAGGAGAAGCAGCAGACAGATTAGCTCATCTTGCTGTCACTCTGCTCTTTCCGCCTATAACCATATCCCTTTTTGAGTACATGAGGACAATTGACTGGCACCCTGTGCTGCTTCTCCTTCGTACAGTATGAGTTCTGCTGTAGAATGAATTGCAGAGGCTGATACTAAGCCAAATTCAGATACCTACATTGCTTGCATTTCTAAAACAAATATTTATTGCTGTATCAATGAACACCGAGCTGCATTATGTTGTCTTATATCTGCCTGGAGTTCAGCTTGCATCTTTCACTTGCTTGATTAGAAAACTCCCCAAATCTTCAATTTACGGGTGTGTAGAATAGGCATTCCCCCTTCCACCTCTACACCCCCCCCTTTGCATCCTACAGTGCTATGTCCAGCAACCAGTCATCAGCCCTGGACAGTGGTGGGGAAAAAGTTACTACATGCAGAGCCACTTGAGATGGACTCCATCTTAGGTCAAGAGCCTCATTCTGCATCTTTCAGAAGATAACCTTTGTTGATGCTACAGGTTCCAGGTAGTTTTTGTAAAGTATACAGTATAGTGCTACTTAACATTCCTGAAGTAATGCCTTAATACAAGTTATGACACAGTGGTCCTGTTATTAAATGAGGCCTGCTTTTATTAGTACACACCGGGCCTGAATAGTATTATTTAAAGCATTATTAAACGTTCAGTTGAAATCATCTAAATAGGTTTCAGATGCATCAAAACAAACAATGTGCAGTTCATCTTCATTAGAAAGCAGCCACAGCCTGAGTAGTGAATCCTGTCCCCCGCTGGCGTGTTGCAGAGGTGGACCCTCTAACGGAGTCAGAGATAGAGCTCTCCAGTCAGCAGGGAGCATGAGCTTTGCTGATTGCAGAGTGCTAGGTCTGACATCCCTGATGCATCTAAACACAAGATGTTCTATGTCTGACTGTTCATTTTCTTACTAAAGCAGCAATTAGCAAAGCTCATGCTCACTGCTGATTGGTGAGCTCAAGCTCTGATTCAACAGAGGGTGTGTCGGACATCTGCAGAGATACCACTGCTTCCCCACAGAGAGTAAGGAGCTAGGCTTTTCTACTCAGGCTGTAGCTGTTTTCTAAAGCATAACTCTAAAGCTGGCCATACCCCTATAGATTATCTGCAGATCTTCTCTGGTCAGAGGGAAAAAGTGCAACAGATTCCTCCATCTACGTTAAACTGTGTGGATGGAGGAATCTCCCACTGGGCCAAGCTTCACTTTCTTGCTAGTCGGCCCCGCTGGCTCTCAAAAATACCTGACCAATGCCAGCATCCAATCAGATTGTTCAGGTATTTTGAGAGCCAGCGGGGCCGACTAGCAAGAAAGTGAAGCTTGGCCCAGTGGGAGATTCCTCCATCCACACAGTTTAACGTAGATGGAGGAATCTGTTGCACTTTTTCCATCTGACCATAGAACATCTGCAGATCATCTATAGGTGTATGGCCAGCTTTAGACTTTGCAGATCTTTTGTTTTGATGCCTCTGAAACGTATTCAGCTGATTTGACTAAAAGTTCAACTCTGCTTTGAAATTCAGGCAAAAAATGTGGTCCCACGATCAAAAACGTCTGCAGGAATTTTTTTTTCTTGTTGCCCACTGCAACTAATCATATATTTAACTTCATTCTTTCCCACAGCATCACATTCATCAAATGGAGAAATTGATTGGTTGCTGCAGGCAACTAGTACTGTCCTTCGTTTAGGCGCTTTCCATGCATGAAGCCCAAAATGGCTCGTGGACATGAAAGGAACCAACCAACACGGATGTGAAAGCAAAAGGAATCACACAAGGGCAGACATGGCTACACGACCACAGGGTGGCGCTAATAACACAGCAGGTGGGGAGGGGGGGTTACTTCTTTGTAAGTAAGCAGAAAGCTGCCTGAGACACTGTTCTAGGGAATGCTTGCGTTTGAATGGGGGAGTGTTTTCCAAAACGTACTAACCTGATCAGAGACACTGAGTGTGGGCTAGTGAAAAACAGAAAGATATGATATGGAGAGGGAAACAAAACCAAAGTAAAAATAAAATAAAAAATTACAGAAAAACATGGCAGTGGGAAGGACATGACTAAGAGCACCTACCTTCATGGGGATGTTCGTTATGGTGGTGGAAGCCAGGTCAAAGTTCAGCTGGACTAAATGATTCAGTTTTGTGGAGAGGTGCCTACCGGCCCGGACGCTGTGGACTTCGCTGGTCAATACAGATGACAGCTGGTGACAAAATGAGGAAGAATTTTGTTTTTAAGTTTGTGTACATAGGCATTTCTGGAGCATTTGTCATGAGATACATTGGCTTTATGTGTTGGGCTTTTGGTGCCATAAAAATAAAAAATACCCCTTCAAATTACCCTATTTGTAAACCTTGCTGTAGGTCTACCCCCACACTGTAAGGGTTAAGTGCTTGTCATCTAGGTATCGTCATGAGGGAGCATGGAGCCGGCTTCCCGGGCAATCAGGGAGCATGCAGCCGGCTTCACGGGCAATCAGGGAGCATGGAGCCAGCTTCCCGGGCAATCAGGGAACATGGAGCCGGCTTCCCGGGCAATCAGGGAGCATGGAGCCGGCTTCCCGGGCAATCAGGGAGCATGGAGCCGGCTTCCCGGGCAATCAGGGAGCATGGAGCCGGCTTCCCGGGCAATCAGGGAGCATGGAGCCGGCTTCCCGGCACTTAGCAAGCTGGGCAGCGTGTAACGACTCGCTGCCCAGCTTCCTGATATTGGAAGCATCGGGCTAGGCATCGGAGCATTTTGGCGCCTACGAGTACTCGCCCAAATACTCGGCAACGGCACTGATACTAGTATAGGTGCATCCCTAGTTGTAACCCTTAATGATGAAACTAACTAATATCATTTATCTACTCATAGTAACTCTTGGCTGTGTATCTTTATAAGCAAATACCTGGTGATCCTTCCAGTCTCATTGTGTTCTCCCAGCATTCCGACCAAGCCTCGCACAAATGCAGATCCATGCTGGCATGGTCAGTTTGCGTCTAGGGCTGCAACTAATAATCATTTTCATTATCAAATAGTTGGCCGATTATTTATTTGATTAATCGGATACCAAAATGAAATAAATACCATACTTAAACTATGAGATCGAGAAGCATGAGAACGGCTTCCCTGCTAATCAGGACTTGATTAATGGGACTTTCAGTATCGGCAACTACCAAAAAAAAAAATATCGGTACTCGTACTTGATACCGAAATACCGGTATCGGTGCATCCCTAGCTACAACCACCTTAACTTTAACGTATAGTGAAGGAAAAGCTTTGAAAAGGGTTAAAACCTGTTAGCTTTTTTTTTGCTATCTCTATCCAGTTGGGGAGAGTTCTACTCACTTTCTCTCTCAAATATACAACAGGATGTAAAAGAAAATCTCTCCAAAATGAGGGAAAACCCCTCTTAGTTGTCCCTGGAACCAATGTCCTCACTGGAAGACTTGCCCCGTATTCCTGTTCTAGTGACCGCTCAAAATGTTACATTCTCACTCACGTGCAGTCCTGGTGACATTATTTACTAGGACAAATAGAGGGTGGATCGCCCCAGAGAAGACAATATAAACCTGACAGGGGTTCTAACCCTTCCACACTTTAACATAATACTTAAAGTGACATTAAACCCTCAGATTTTTTAACATAAACCAATACTGTAATGTGTGCCTTACTGTAATCCATGGTTGTTTCACTTCTCTTTGCTGCTCTTCCTTTTAAATCCTTATCTCTTCTCATGCTGGGCAGAACTTCTGTTTTGCAGCAGACTGCCTTGTCTCTGGAATGGATACATGGTGTCTGTGTGTAGGTTCACAACCTGAGCCAGCACTACAGGAAGAGGCACTCAGCTGCAAAGGGAAGTTCTCCCCCAGCATGAGAAGACATGAGGATTTAAAAAGGAAGAGCAGCAAAGAGAAGGGACACTACCATGGATTACAGTGAGGCACACATTACAGTTATGTTAAAAAAATTGAGGGTTTAGGGCTTGTTCACACCAAGCGTGGAGCAGATCCAGAGCAGAGCAGGTGCAGACCGGATCAAAACTGCGTCCAATGTATTCCAATGGTATTTTTTGCTCCAGTTCACATCGCAGCGTGCAGTTGCAGAGCAGATCCAGAGCAGGTGAAAGAACTGCAGCAGGCCCTATTTTACCTGCTCTGGAGCACATCAGAAACGCATCAAAAACGCATGCCAATGCCTGGAACACACTGGAGGCCCATTTTAAACTTTCAAAAAAAAAAATATTTTTTTTTTCCACCAAAAAGAGCCCGGAACGCATCAAAAACGCGTCTAAAAGACTGGATCTGACTGGATCTGCTCTGCATTTGGTGTGAACAAGGCCTTAAAGTAGAAGTGTGGCCAAGATATGAACAATCAAATATTTACATCTTCTTAAATCGCAACTGTACTTTCAGGTTAGAGCAGAACTAAAGTTCTGGGGCCCTATAAGCTCTTCCCATAACATGTAGGTATACACAGTATATGTGCACGTTATAGCACACTTACCCTGCAAAGTGCTTCCTTTAGCTTTTCCCTCCCCTAGCTCCATCTTCTCCCAGTTATATTCTGTGTCAGGAGTCTTTAGCCTTTCTTACTGGCTGGGCCCAGGATCTTATAACTCCTTTGCATGTGCGGCTCATAGATGCTGGCTTGTACATTGAGCTACACGTATGCGGTTTTCAAGGCTCAATTTGTACAAATTGTGTCCGATTTTGCAAAAATTGCTAGCAGGCCGGGCTACAGATTTTATGGAAGAAGAGCTGAGCTGCTGAGTCAATGATGAGGGGGATGCTGAGCAAATGAATGCCTACTGGGAGAGGGGAGCAGAGCTGCTGAGTCAAAAGCTAGGAGAGAGTGGAGCAGGGAGAGCTAAGCTAGTGAGTCACTGCTGAGAGGAGGAAGCGGAGCTGCAAAGTCGTTGCTCGGAAGGGGGGACCAGAAATGCTGTGTCACTGCAGGGAAGGTGAGCAGTGGGAAGCTGAGCTTTTGAGTCAATGCTGGGTGGAAAAAAATAGTTAATGAGAGAAAATGAAAAGTGTTTGCACTGTACATCTCAACGATAACTTGCTCCACATTACCTACAGCTACAAAGGTCAGTCAAGGTTTATTTCAAATCTCATTTACTCCTTGCTAAGAACATGTAAATATCTGAATATCCATGGCCTGGCCACAGTTTTAATTTAACTCAATTACAATATGATTTCAAAATATGTGCTGAGTGAAAATAAAATGAGGTGGCCAAGCAGAATTATCACGGGTTACCGCACACTTTGCCAATAGCACCACCTACCTCTTTCTTGGGCCGATCAGACACAAGGCTGTCATCCCCGACTGGGTATGTGTGAATTAACACCAGCTCACACTTCTGAATCTGCATGAGACTGCAACAGACAAAAGGTTACTTCTCGAGGTTCAAAAGCAATTGGTATTTAAAACCAAAATGTGTTTAGCCAAATTTTGTGTACGTACTGATCGGAGCCGGCAGCCAGCTTGTTGTGCTCATGTATGGTCTCGCTGACACAGTCCTCCAACATCTGAACGTGGCTGTCGCTGGAGAGCAAAAAGAAAGAGAGAAAAGATAAAACCAGGCAGGTGGACAATATGGCTTCCACAACTGACAGCTATGACCATCGGTAGACAAATTCAATAGGATGATGCCAATGCTTAACGTGATATAAGCTGGAATAAAGCTGAACTCCGGCACCAAAACTTTGATTGGAATATATTCCTCAATGGCCACAAAGGATATAAAACCGATTTGTGTTCACCAAATGCCTTTACATTAGGGCTGCAACAATTAATCAACTAAATCGATTATAATCGATTATTGAAAAAGTTGTCAGCGTTTTCAATCATCGATTAATCGGCTTTCGATTAGTTGGCCCTGTTCACGGCTCCACACACACTCATTCCCACCTCACGCTCGACACTGCCAGACCCGCATCCACGCTCCACACGCGGCACCTTCTCCCCACCTCACGCTCACCGCCCGCCCACATCCTCAATCGGCACAGGGACGCGGGGAGAAGAAGAAGTACGGAGGAGCAGGTGGGGGATGACAGCCGCCGATAGACAGGCCCGATCTCAGAAGCAAGTTGCTGGAAGACTGCTCATGTAAGGCTGCACTTTCCCACACATGGTGCTCTATAATGTATTTGTATTCTTCTATAGCTGATGGTATACAACAAATCCCAGCAATACATTATACACTGTATGTATAATGTATTGCTGGGATTTGTTGTATTCTTATATAGCTGGTGGTATTCTGCATTGCGCTGTATAAAGGACTACAAATCCCAGCAATAATACATTATACAGTGCAATGCAGAATACCACCAGCTAAAGAGTACAACAAATCCCAGCAATAATACATTATATAGTGGTGCAATGCCGAATACCACTAGCTATAGAGGGCAGGGCCATCCTTACCATCTTGTCTTGAATTGTATTGTGATTGTAATGTCTTCCTTATATTGTAAAGCGCTGCGCCAACTGTTGGCGCTATATCCTGTATAATAATAGAGGACTACAAAACCCAGCAATTGTACATTATACAGCGCAATGCACAATACCTTTGCAGAATACTTTGTAAAGTAGAAGTGACATCATCACTGTGCTGCACATAGCCTGTGCCAGAGGTACCTCCAACTGCTGGAATTACAAGTCCCATTAGGCATTGCAAGACTGACAGTTACAGGCATGATTCCCAGAGACATGTTGGGATTTCTAGTTAAAGCACAGCTGGAGGGCTGAATATGCCCTTCCATGGCCTGTGCAGACAGCACAGATGTAGGAGGGACCCAGCAGGCCCCACCCACTACAGGTTGCCTGCAGAAAACTACAGGAGGGGGCGGAGACAAGACTAGTCACCCTGCACAAGGAAAGAGAGCAGCAATGACTGGTCTGTGCTACAGGAAGCTCCTGCAGAGAGATATACTGCAGACACAGCTTCATCCTGGATTACTACAGTAGTGCACTTACATCCAACCCAGAAAAAAACGGCTAGTAGCGGTGTTTCTGGCTGTGGAAGAGAACAAAGATATGACCTACTGCCCGCCAGACCAGCAAGTATTTAACTTCTTCTTTACAGGGTGCTTCAGGCTAAAAGCTTTAGTGCTTTCCTCTTCTGGAATCATACAGTTACTGTCCGAGCTGGCCCAGCTCCCTCACCCCTCTCCTCCCTACATAAACTTTCCTATAGTTGCTGGAGAAGTCAAGGGGAATACTAGTATAGAGTGCCACTTGAATGACAGCTTTGAGTCAACAGTCACATCCAAGATGGTGACACCCAGCAGCAGTCTTTGGGCTTTTGGATGTCTACACAAGGGAGGCTTTTACAGGTAAATAAGATGAATAAAACCGGTTAAACGTAGGGATGCACAGATACCGGTATTTGGGTACCGAGTACAGATATTTTTTTTTCTGGTACTCGCCGTTACCGAATACCGAAAGTCCCATTCAGGAAGCCAGGTGGCGTGTAATGACTCGCCACCTGGCTTCCTGATTAGTCGGGAAGCCGAGCAGCGTGTAAAGACTCGCCATCCGGCTTCTCGATTAGCAAGGAAGCCGTCTGCAAAGCCTCACCCCAAATACTCGGTATCGGTGCATCCCTAGTTCAATGCACATATAATCTTATGGAAAGATTGTTGTGAAAATGAATGCTCTAATGACAGGGTCTCTTTAAAGTACATCTAAACCCCAAAAATATGTAATATATTACAGCTTAACGATCCTTAGATGTGGCAGTTGCATTCGTTTTCCTTTTTCCAGCGTTTGTTACCCCCTTTTGTGCAGTAACACACTTCCTGTCCTAGGGTGGCAATGCTCCCTCATCCTACTGTATCATTGGAAAAGAGTGATCACCTGAGCCGGCTTTCTGGATCTGGACTACAAATACCCCCCTCTCCTTATCTCTATTGCATAACATAACAGCATTGTTTGATCTTTCAGTTAAGTGCACAGGAAGATACAAGGACATTGGGTTTCTGGCAGGATCAACTGTTCATGTTCTGTTCTTGTAGAAAATGTTCTTAGGCTGAAAAAATAAAAATCTAATGCAGCCACATCTCGGGACTAGTAAGCTGATATATGTGACATTTTTGCTCTTGGGTTTACATATTGCTTTAAGATAAAGGCTTCTATGGGTCAGTCCTGCTGGAGGAGATGCAAAAGATTTGTACCTCTTGGCGTTGGTGAGACAGATGATGCGTCCCCTATTCGCCACGCAGTCTGCATTCTCCATTAGCATCGTCCTGGACTCATGCTGGTAATCAGTGATCTTACACAAGGACTCCACAGCTGCTACCAGCCCATGGAGAATGCTGCAACACTCCGGGTCTGCCCGAGGATTGGGGGGCCCAATCGAGGCCAAGGCTGCCATTAACTAGAAAAAAGAAGACATTTTTTATGTTGCAACAACAGGAAGTGATAAACTGAATAAAGGGACCACTAGCAACAATCAGTCCATACAATAGTAGATGGCAGAAAAGTACTGAAATCAGGTTCTTTAAAGTCCATCTCTGGGAAAACAAAAAAGTACCCTTGTAGTGGGGCTTCCCCTGCACTGCAAGGGTTAAGTGCTCCTTTTTTTGTCCAGGGCAGGGGTTGCCAAACTGTGGACCTCCAGCTGTGATGCAACCACAAATCCCATGAAGCATTGGAAAACTTTTACAGCCACAGCTGTGACTCCCAGAGGCAGATGCATGATGGGATTGT